TCCGACTTCCATAAGCCATCCCACTCACTCACCCTCAAGGATACCAGCAGCAGCCCAGACTCAACTGACCAGCCACAGCAGCAGCATCATCAGCTAGACTCAGACCACCACAGCACCCAGCTCACAACTCAGGAGGAACAACACAGCAACAACAACAACAGCTCAAACACCCCTGACCAACTCAAGACAACAGACACTCCCCCTCCCAATCAAACCAACACCCCACCCTTGACGGGCACCACCAACTCAACCTCACCAGCACAGCCAACTCACCCAACACCCCCCGATAATCACAGCACCAACCCCTCCTCTGCACCCACAAACACAAACACAAACACAAACCCAACAACCACAACAACAACCACAACCACACCTACCGACCAGCTCCCAACCACCTCCAACAGCACAACCCTCTCCACCTCACTCGGCAACCTCCCCCTTGTCTCCAAGCCTGATGATGATGATCATCATCATCACGATCAGCTCAAACCCAACTCAACCCAACCCCAGCAAACCGTCCCCTCCGAATACGGACGAGAACAACCTGGGCTCATTCCTAGCCAAAGATAACCTCACCTCGGCTTCGATTCCCTTCAAGTTCAACACCACCGCCACCACCCCTCAACCCACCAAGAACTCCGGCTCAGAGCAAACCGAGAATAATCTGGCATCCTTTCTCTCCAAGGATAACATCACTTCGGCTTCGATCCCCTTCAAGTTCAATAGCACCACCACACAGCCCACCAAGAACTCGAGCCCTAATACGGATGATAATCTGGCCTCGTTCCTCTCCAAAGATAACATCACATCGGCTTCGATCCCATTCAAGTTTGATAACACTAAAACCCAGCCATCCAAGAACTCGAGCCCCAGTACGGACGACAATCTGGCCTCGTTCCTCTCCAAGGATAACATCACATCGGCTTCGATCCCGTTCAAGTTCAATAACACCAGCACCCAGCCGACCAAGAACTCGAGCCCCAATACGGACGATAATCTGGCCTCGTTCCTGTCCAAGGATAATATCACATCGGCTTCGATCCCGTTCAAGTTTAATAACACCAGCACCCAGCCGACCAAGAACGCGAGCCCCAATACGGACGATAATCTGGCCTCGTTCCTGTCCAAGGATAATATCACATCGGCTTCGATCCCGTTCAAGTTTAATAACACTAATGTCGGGACTGGTCAACAGACTAAGAAGAACTCGTCGTCGAGCTCTAATACGGATGATAACTTGGCTTCGTTCTTGTCCAAGGATAACCTCACCTCGGCTTCTATCCCGTTCAAGTTCAACAGCACTAACGTCGGCACTAGTCAGCAGACCAAGAATCCCAACTCTAATACGGATGATAACCTGGCCTCCTTCCTGTCAAAGGACAACCTCACCTCCTCATCCACCCCGTTCAAGTTCAACACAACTGCTGCTGCCCTCACCTCATCCTCCAAATTCAATTCAACAACCGAGAACAACGACCAACCTTCGCTGATCAATGCAATGAATGCGACCATGACCTCGAGTCCGTTTAAATACAACACCACCAACGAAAACAACCTCGATCAGGCCAATGCCAGTTTGCTCTCTGCTCCCTTCAAATTCAACCAAACCAACTCTACCTCCGCTCATTCGACCAACAGCGAAAGTGAGCCCAGCCTGGCAGCCATCGGTCAAGATAAAGCAGCCAACACCACCTTGGTATCCAACACCTTCCAGCTCAACTCGACTACTGGTGCTGGTCTACAGAGCAACAACGTGACTGCGATCGATAAGGATAATGCCGTCCTGACATCCTCTCCATTCAAGTACAACTCCACCAATCTCAATTCTTCGGACTCCAATGGGCTCTTGTCCTCAAACAATAGCAACAACAACGCAACCAATTCCACTCCCGTCTATACTCCTTATCACAGCGATCCAAAGCCTGCGCCTGCCTTTGTTCCCGTCACCTCCCTCTTTGTTAACCCGCGTCCAGCGGACCCAGTTGGTCCATCGACCGCTCCACCGTCTGTGGAGACCTCGCTACCTTCTGCTGGAGCACCACCTAAGAAGTCATCGCCCACCCCGTTCCCGTCAAGCTGGCCACGTTACATCGTCCCTACCAATGCGCCAACTTCGGCTCCTGCAAACTCGACTCTGATCTCGATCTTGTTTACCGATGCGCTCAATTGGCCATGGCTGGTCACCAACTCGAATGCCTCCTCGCAAGTCCTCGTCTTCATGCCCGAGTTGATCGCCTCGAGCTTGCAGATCCCTGAGGACCAGGTGGTCACCCAGTCCTTACAAGCTTATCAGCCCGTCAACTTCAATCCTAGTAACGAGGCCAGCATGTTGACCTTATGGCTGGGCTACATTCCCAGCCAATACGTCGGTCAATTACAAGCAATGATTCGTGCCCCTCAGAGTCGGTTCTACTCCAGTACTAATTCGGGTTTTGAGAGCCTTGGCTAAGACCGTTGACCCATCGCTACCTATTTCGTAAGGAGCTTCCTTCTTTTTTTTATGTCAGTTCGAACAAAATAAAAATTGAAATTCTTGGATTTGTAGGACTTATGAAAAGAAGACACCGGCGAGTCAAGCAGCCGCCAACCCTACGTCAACAGATGACGGGGATCCACCACCTGCCAACCAAAGTCAAAAGATAGCGGTCATAGCCTCGGTGACGACATGTGGGGCGGCGATCCTAGCGATCGGGCTGGTGATAGCCGCACGCCAGTCGAGGCGAAGGATGATCGGACGATCTCTGCAGGGTTCGCCGGGCTCGTCGAGTCTGCGGATCGGCGCGCCGATGATTGGCAGTTTCCAGCGGGGCCAGGACGGGCTACCGGTGCCACACCAAGGCCGGATGGAACAAGTCTCTGCGCTTCCGGTCTCCGGCGGGGCTGCCCAGCCCACACGAAGCTCAGACTCTGGTGGCGGTGGCGGCTCGTATGTCCGGCACGAGTACGGACAGGCGCGAACGACGTCGCTGATCCAGCATCCCTTCCAGACGGCCAATGCGTCCGATCGGATCAGTTGGTGGGGCAGGATGAGCGGGATCCTCGGCGGCGGCGGCGGCACCTCGGCTGGTCGACATGACGATCATCTGGCTGGCGGCGATCACACTAACCTCTCCTTCGAATCCGCCGTCGACCATTTCAGACCTTCTCCCTCCCCTCCGCCCGCTTCTTCTTCTGCTTCTGCTCGTCAGAATCATCAGCAACAGAGAAGAGTTCAGATCACCAGGGGTGCTGATGGTCTTGTCTCCGGTATCGGTAGACCGGTTATGAGGGTCAGTTATCTTGTCCTCCTGTTTTCATCTTCATAGAGTCTTTAATTAACTTCTCGTCTTCTTTTTTTCTAGGAAAACTCGTTGTTCTTTTGATTCCCCCCCTCTTTTCTTCTTGGTGTGTGTATATGCACATTGACACCACTGACAGCAAGCATTCCTTGACCATCCACTCACTCTTATACGCTCGTTTACGATCTCAATATACATACTTCATAGGATTGATTGGAAGGGATTAAATCAGATTGCAAGATCTACTTCCTTCTCAACTCTCACTTTCTCTCTTTTTTTTGATGATTTAGTTTTTTTTTGTTTTGACGTAAATATATACACGAGTCTCACTCTTTTTATCTTCCATTCCTTCAACCACACCAACACCAACCCACGAAAAAAACACACAAAAAAAACACTCATTTAGTATTTATTTATTTTTCTTCTCCTGAATCAAAAAAAAATGCAAAAAAAAATTCTTACGCTCTCTTATAGGTTTTGGCATGTTTCAACTACTCCCTCTCTTTATCTCATATACTCCTTTAAACTGCACCCTCCTCTTCCTTGGCCAACATTATATCTCTACTCTCTCTCTCTCACATTCATTCACCTATACTCATTTGGTCACTACATGACATATATATATATATGATACGTTACAAACACAATTGAGCTGTTTATTTTACTTGCTAGGTGGATCTCCTTCTTCTGCTCCTTTATCTCTCCCCCCCCCCCCCTCCCCTCACTTGTTATTCCTATTCCTTCTTAATCCAACTCTTGCCCTTTCTCTTTGTTTATTTGACTTCTTCTTCTGCTTTTAGTTACACTTCCTGTCTTGTTTGTTTTTTTTCTTACGTTAGTTGGAAGTAGGGGAAACTAAACCAGGCAGGGTTTCTTTTTGTTTTTGTTGCTTCACAGCAGCAAGCAGGAGTAGTCCTTAATTCATTTGTTTTTTGTTTTTGTTTATGGATTTTTTGTTTTGTTTTTTATTGTTGATCAAGGAAGTAGTAGTTGTAGTACAAAATCTTTTTTTATAGAGTAGGATCCTGGCCCACATTGTTTTCTCTATACATACATACATACATGCGTACATATCCTCGGCCACCCACCTTGTTCTCTTTGTTTTTTTTTTGTTTATGTTTTTTTGGTGTTCAAATGTGTGTGTTGTGTGTGTGTGTTTTTCAGTTGTCGTCATTCAGTGGTGTAATGAGCCGTGCATTAAACATATACAATATCCGCCTGTCTGTTCTCAAAGCAGATTCCCATTTGTTCTTCATCCATCACTACATATATGTACATACATACATATATACACACACACATACTCACATTCATCTATATATATATATTTTACCAATACAAATACTCCTTTCAAACTTCTCTCCAGATTTTTTGTCTTATACTTATATATATACCTGCCCGTTCATTCACTTATCATTCTCACTTGTTTTGTTTTGTTTTGAATAAGAAGAAGGAAGCCAAGACCCTTATCTTGTCCCATCAATCCATCACACCACCACCACCACAGTCCATCATAGGCCGCTTACATTTTTTTCCCCCCTCTTCTCTTCTCTTCTGCTGGGTCTGCTGTTTGGTTGGTATATACTTCATTCCAGTGTTTTTTTCTTTATCATTCCATATCCATTGGCTTGATTATAAGGCTGGGTTTATATATATATATATTATCACTCTCATTTTCTCCCTCTCACTGATATCTCCTCACACTACTTCCATCCATTCACTTGGAGTTTTGATACAGAAGAAACAGATGAAGAATATCAAGATGCATGAATAAGAGTAATTGATGATATCCAAAACCTGCGAGAGAATCGTTTGGGCTGCTATAGCCACTCACAGGATTCCTCAATTTTTTTTTGTGTATTCGAAGGGTCCAGATCCAAGCTGTGTGTTCATGAAGGCGGTTTATTATAAGCTCTTTTGTCAATCAACTTGGGCCTTTCAACTTTCAGAAGTGTTTGTCTGCATCATTCATTGATTGATTGATTGATTTTGTCTTCTAAAGTAATGAGCTTTGGCAACTGGGTTGCTGTACATGGATTCCCACCACCCTGTTCCCTACACTTGAATTACTAGTTTTTTGAAACCACTAGTTATCTTTTTCTCTATGGCAATAGTCACCCAGGAAAATTTTCTTTCTTTCTTTCTTTTTTTTTTTTTAGTTATTTAGTTAAAAACAAGAGGTGATCTTAAGCAATTAGCTTCCAGGAAAGAAACAAAACAAGGGAAAGAGAATGGCAACAAAAATACACTTTTTTTTCTGGAGTGGGATGAAAGAATTTGTGAAAGATGGATCTGAACTAATCAAATGTTTGATATAAGCAAGATTGTTACACTTGATTCGCCATCTTGGATTGGATTTCTTTGGCAGTCTAGATAAACAAGGAACGTGAGTTTTCGAAGCAACTGTAGGTCAACCGATGCGCCTACCTCGAGGTAGAGGATTACAAACAAAAAGAGGGACAAGAGAGATGGATGGGAAGCTCACGACAACGAATCTGTCTAATTGTTTTTCTAATTCATCTAATTTCGATTTCTTCTCGTCGTTCTCTTTCGAAAGTTTCAATTTCTTCTGGAGCAGTTCTTTCTTCTCCGCTTCGAACCTAGCAGATCAAACTCAGCAACAAGAGAAGAGACACGTCTGACTCTGTGGAGGAGGTTGGTGAACGAATGCTTACCTTTTGCGTTCTGATAACTCGAATTTTAATCGTTTGATCATCAGTTCATGTCCATCGATCTCCTCCGGCCCGTCTCGTTTATCCTCCGGATTCCTCTCGAAGTATTCCTCGAGTGAATGGATGGAGATGTTTTGATACTCCGATCTGAGGTGATCGTTGATTCCAGCAAATCAGATGAATAAACAGGTGACCGAGACTTCTGGAGATTTTGTTTTGATGTTGTTTTCCTGAAGAATGTAAACGGGCGAAGAAAGGAACTCAACTCGAATTCTTGACATTTCTTAATTTCTTTTTCCAGATGTCTTCTCTCATAGATCAAGTTCTGCAAGTCCAAATGAATTTGATCGACCTGATTCCTGATCAGCTGAGTCTGAGATTTGAAGGAGGAGACCATCGATGAGCTACTGCGATTGATTGATTTCAGACGAGCAAAGAGTGGAGCGGCAAGCAAGATCGAGTTTTCGTCGGCTTCGAGTTCATCCACAAAGCTCTCTTCCGGCGGAGTGATCGTTGATGATGATGAGGCCGATGCCCTCGATAGTTTGGATTCAAGTAGTTGGTTGGCTAGGAGCACAAGTTGATCGGCTATTGCATCGATTTTCTCCCAGTTCGCTGGTTGTTGCTCGGCGATTGGTTGGATTTCCTCGTCCATGCTCAAGAGCTCAACTTATGGCTATCCGTCAAGATGAAAACACCTGTCTATGTGGCCGTCCTTCCCTTTGCCGCTTGCACGCTTGTCTGTCCTATTTACGTAGTTGGTCAACTTTCTCAATTAAGGTAAGTCAGCTTGGTAAGGTCAAACCCCATTGTTCGGAAAAAGAAAGAAGAGACGAACCTTTGATTCGGAAAGTGAAAGTGTCAACTCAAATAAAGAGTCAAGTCATGTGTGGATTAAGCAGCGTATGACCTCTGGCTTCCCCGAGAGTCCCCGAACCGCCGGGTGTTATGAAAATGTCTCTGTTATGAAAATGTGTCACCAGATGTCAATTTCACCCCAGGGGTGCTCATCAACCATATTGGTTTTAAAGCTGGTATAAATAGGCATAAATAGTTTCATCCAAGTCTGCTCCAGCTTTCACTTCAGTTTGAAAGCTTTACAATTCCAGCTTCAACTCTTTCCCAGAAGAATGACCTCACAGATGGTTTCTGGCTCTGCCACTGGCATGTTACATGTCCTCATTTGACTTTCCAAATTCCGACTAATGATTGGTGAGTCATGTGATGTTTGATTAATAAATGGTAATTATTTATTATCAGCCATGTTGAGATTGTAAGCCAAATATTACTCAACGTCCATACAGAAATTAGGGGGGTTCACAATAGAAATTTAGCAAGTTTTTATAGCCAGTTCTAAGGTCCTTATTGTGAGAACTTAGGATTTATTGCTAAGAAACGAAACCAGACTGAGAAGGAAAACAGATAAGTGATTGAGTAAAAAGAAGATTAAAACAAAGAAATGAATGAGAATTTACCACAACAGAACAATGTAATTGTTGAGAACAACTGAGAATGATAAGCAATGAAATAGAGGACACAGGACTGCAACATCATGACAGCAGAGAGATTAGCGATGAAGATTGATTGTTGAGGAGAGGAAAGCGGTGTGTTCTCACCAAATTGAATCAGACAAGTGATCCAATATAAGGGAAGCTCGACTAGGTCGATAGTTGAGAGGTTGAGGATAGCTCGACGAGGTCGATGGAAGTAAGAGTGAGTTTGAGGAAGTTGGTGGTTTGAGGATGAGTTGAGAGTGTGTAAGGGAATGAGGATTGAGGATATTGAGGAATGAGGATTGATGATACTGGAGAGAGAGACGAATCAGAATAAGGATTGAGGAGAGCGGAAAAAAGAGGGAGAGTGGAACGGAAGTGGATGAAGGAGGGAGAAATGAGAGATTAGGTTTTGGGTTTCGGATTGAGTGACATTAGGTTATGATTGATGATAATTGTTGAGGACAGGTGTCACGCAAGGATCACGAGGAGTTTCAACACTTATCAACAAACCTTTAGGCCCCGTTTGGCCGCAAATCACGATTTGTGATTTGGCTAAGGTTTGGGGCGGATTTGGACCGTGCGATATAAAACGATATAAAGTTTTTGCACAAACTCCTGCCAAACCTCAGCTCAAAATTACAAATTACAGATGGCCAAACGGGGCCTTAGAGTTTTGACAAGATCAACAGATTTTGGGGTTTCTGAACAACCAGAACTCTTTTCATTTTTCAGAAAGTTGTTGATAAACACCTTAAAATGGGCTTTAAAAAGTTTGTAAATTTCTATTGGGTATGTACCCCCCTATTATGGTTTGAAAATTAATGGACATGAGGGACTGATCTTGTTTAATTTTACTGATAACAAAAACAATTGCAACTCCCAAGTTTTTGTAAGCATCTGGCCCTAAAACATTCTATAGACCATCTCACACAAATTCTAACACTTTTATTGAAAAAAAGTTTACAAAGATTTTTTTACATACCAATATTTGCTTGTTTCCAACAATTCTGTCAAAGACTTGTGTGCAAAATGTTGTTGAAATGATGCTCAAGTCACCAACATGGCCAGGGCTAATGTCATGTAAAAACACCCCCACACTCCTCAAAGTATTTTGATTTCATGTTTTGAATATGTTGAAGCCATTTCATTCTTCTATGGATTATAAATCAAGGTCACTTCCGTGCCAAAGTTATGAACTGCACAGCATGTGTCAACTAATTTCTAAACATAAATATGTACTCATTTTCAGGAAAACTTAGACAGTTTGAGTATCACATCCTGCTCACAAAAACACAATTGATACTTCATTGGTTTGGAAATGATTCTCAAAATGGGTTTTTGCTTATCTCAATCTTTCAATGTATGTTGGTCAAGAGCAGTGAGTGTTTTGTGACATATAGCTCCTGCACTTGACAATCTTCTTTGACAAAAACACTATCCAAAAATACATTCCATTCCCAAAAAAAATCAAGGAAATTAACAGAAAAATAATTTCAGCATGATAATGTTTTGAAACCACATATATACACATAACCATAAAATTAACAAGCTGATTAAAAGTGAAGTAAACAGGATTTTGGAATAGAGAAATTCACATGATCCTACAAGTTGCGCATTTTTCGGAACCTCTCAAAGATAATAAGAGCAGCGCCAAAATCATCTGAAAAGCTTTTGAAATTGGATTTGGCCTTGATTCTAACCCTTTGTGTGAATTTCTTACCTGAGATTTCAGTAAATTTTTCAAAATCATCTTGGATTCCTTTATCATATTCCAAAAGCTGAGCATACTCTTTTTTTCTGACAAGTGTTTTTCCAAAATTTCCCTCGGTTTCCAGGCCAGAAAACAGTTTTACAATCTTACTCTGTTCACTGAGCGTTACTTGATCTATCGGTTTATCAATGTGGCGAAGTTTGATCCCATTTATTCTAAAATTTATTATCTGGAGCATTCTCGAGACGTCTAATCCTTCATCCATCCAGAGAGGAATTTGGAAAAATCCCGTTTTTTTCATGCTTTCGAAGTTATTCATCGCTTTGTTGAGCTCTTCCGATGGAATAGATTCTCTCCAGGCTCTATATAATTTAGGATATTTGCATCTTATTTCCCTCGCAGCCTCTGGGGGGTCGCTGATTTCTGAAGCGTGGGATGATGTTTGTTCTTCAAAACGTTGCTCGACTTCAGGTGGTCCAATGTGCACCGGAGCGGTATAACTAGCAGGAAGCTGTTTTAAATCAACCGAACAAGTTCCCTTGCGACTATCTATAGATTCTATAGGCTTCTCCACAGGTACGGCGGTTCGCTTTTCGACGTCCCCCGTGAGTCTAGAAAGCCAAAAATGGGTAAATGCTATAGATTTCCCGCTAACTACAATCAACGTTAACACTCTTGAGCAGAAACTCTGGTGTGACACACCTTTCGTCGACGCCTTCTTCTTCACCTTCTTCAATCGTCCCGAGGCGAGATCGAGTTATGGAACGTCTTATAAGCAATAAACTATTGGTATTTTGTGATTGTGACAGCGTACTACTGCGTATCGTAGAGTATGAGATCTCTTGGGCCGGAGAATGATGCCTAGGGCAACCCCGTCCGATATCTACTGACGATGACAGCGAATACTGTAAAGGACATTGGGCGCAAAATGCTACAATAATGAGGAAGAGGGGACTCATTTGACGAGTCGAAATATCAATTCTCTATCCAAGAAAGGGGAACAAGGGTACATTGCCATAGCACAGGGGGGGGGGGGCATACTAAACCTTTTTACTGGCCGGGATACAAAAGCTCTTTGGTGAAACTTGACCCCGTAAAGCTTGATAGCCTCAAAAGGTTAATGGCTGTATAATGAGAATCATGCGAATGAACACGCGCCTTGAATCGATACTTCCCCAGCTGCAAACGGGAAATCTTCAGCAATCTATCCATAGTATGTACTCTGCTGGCCTGGCGGCTCGTGCCGGCCCCGTCTTCCCGGTTTCGTAGTGGATAATTCCTAGTTGCCCGGAAGTATTCAGATCCGCCGAGACAGCAGCAGGTCACATGTCCTTAATTTACGACACGCCCTCGGCCGGGGCAGCTTTATTGATACTGGTCCCGGGGACAAGCAACACACGTTCCGCGAGGGATATTGGGGTGATCGTTTCGTGCAGCGCGATCGGATCTCATTCTCAAAATGCAAGCGGGTCCTACCTCTAGCTTGCTCAGCCTCTCCGTCGAACGCACGAAGTGCGGGAGAGGCTTGTGACCAAAACGAACACACCCGCGTGTCGCTTTCGAGTTTTTAGGGTGTTTTTTGCGCAGAAAATTCTAATGTATCACTTTCTACACTTTTATAGGGGAAAAATCTGGGACAGCATGCCCCAGATGCCAAAGTCAATTTTAATCAAGGAATTATCCAGAAATATTTACAACTACATTCTAGAGAAACTTTGTAATTGTCAAAGTTTCCACTCAGATTTATGCTTTTTGCTTATGTCATAGCTTCTCAAGGCTCGGAACCCAACTTGGATTCTTTGATTTTTTCAATTTTTCATATTTTTCAAAAAAATCTTACTCATCTGAATTTCAGGAAAAATCCCTAAAATTTGCTGAGAAGATTGGCAACATGGTCAACTTTGACCATGCTGGATCTGCCTGAAACAAAAGTTAAATTACATGCATGGTGGGCAATCCAAATTTTGCTACACCAAAACATGTCAATAGCGACACGCGAGCTTGTGTGTATTTGTCACAAGTCCCTCCTTCGGAGGCTCGCTTCGCGAGTGGCGCCAGCCAGCCAAGGTCACCAGGCCCGCAGAAGCTTGGGACTTGTCTCAAGTTAGGTCCTACCTTAACACAAGCCCCACCTTAATCAACTCGCGAAGCGAGCCTCCGAAGGACGGGACAGAGAGATACATACAACTTACAAGGAATGTTATTGGAAATACAATTGACAGGCCTACAATTCATTCAGTTTCACACAATCAAAGTTGAACGGTTAAAGGCAGACTATTAAGAAGCAGATTGCTCTTGGACTCCAGGAATGAAAATTTTATCCATCTAGAGGGCTGACCTCCTGCCTTACAGCCATACAATTGTGGTTAGCTTGGGTTGCTGATACACCACGGGGTGGGTTTTTAGAAAATCTGTACATCCAATGGATGTTTTCTGAGCAAGAGTGTCCTTTGGACGCTATGAAACTTAGCATCCAAGGGATGCTCCGGTGCCCCAAGCATCACTTGGATGCTTTGGAAACCATCCAAGTGATGCCTGGTGGTCAAGACCATGCTCTGGATGGTAAAAAATAACCATCCATTGGACACTCTCAATCAAGAGTGTCTAATGGACACTTTTGAAAGTGCCCAATTTTCACTTTACAGGTGGGGTGGTTGATGGTTGAAAAAACAGGCTAAAATGCAGTTGATTGTCAAAAATTCATTCCAAAATGCACATGACTTGGGGGGGGGTCAAAAGTCTAAATTAAGCTGGAAAATTAGCTTTGCATAAAAATCTGGAGGTATGTACCATTTAGGTGGTTAATTCTCAATTCTGATATAGTCTACTTGCACAGCCTGCAAACAGGTGATGAAACCTGGATTTCATCACGCTGATGATTTTGCGGAAACTCGCCCGCAGTAGCTGCGGCTACTGGCGCAGTCACGCTCCGAAAAACGTCACCACGACAAAATATCAATTTCGTCACCTGTTTCCGGGCTGTGTTGGTAAGGACTGGAGTCTGGAGTATTGCATCACACAAAACCACCCAATGGATGGTTTATTCCAAAACGTCCAATTCAAGGTTTTGAGAGTGCCATCCATAGGATGGTCCTCGCAGAGCCACGGAAAACTGGCCCTACAACCATCCAGCGCACCGACCAAAAGTTGTCCGGACCGACCCGTGGTGTAGGTCTACAATGATTGTTTGAAATGTGTGCTTCCTCTATTAATGGGATTATGTGGACAATTGGACATATTCATACAATAGTTAGTAACTTGGACTCGGAGAGTTGAAAGAAGCGTTGTGAGAACTCCTTTGGGAATGGTGGCAGTCCTGTGAGGGGGAAATAACAAATATGATATTGCGCTTGTTTGATATATATTGTTACGGGTGGTTTGAAAGACCTGCCCCTCTATTGTACTACACACAACGATGAAACGGATGCGATGCGTGCATTGGTATCGCATCGCATCGGGCGTTTATCGCATTGCATCGCAAGGTGCGATGCGGGGCCCCGCATCGCATCGCCCGCATCGTCATAACCGATGCGGAGAATCGGCATCGCATTGATTTTCCGATGCGATGCCCGATACCTGGCTTGCGATGCCGATGTTATCGGCAGGTATCGGCTTAACCTCCCTCCGAGTCGACTCTGAATCTGATTCTTGTCCTGACTCCGACTCCGAGATTGACTGGAGTCTTTCAAAATTCAACTTTCATCGGATTCGAACTTCAAATCAATCTAGATCCGATTCCAAATATCGCTTGGAAGTTGGATCCCCCCTTGCTGGACTCGACTAATCATCGACCCAAGTCTCAGACTCAGGAATCGGATCCCCCCTCGCTGGACTCGACTAGTCGGCTCATCAATTGGACTCGACCCGCTGTCCAGTGTTCCTTGTTCTGGACTCAAGTTTCAAGTCTCAACCCACGACTACGAGGGCCGTTATCGATCGGCATCAGAAAAAACCTCTCGTCAGCCTGAAGAAGCTGAATCCGATCGCTGGCTTCAATCGCAATTGGACTCGGACCGGACCACCGGCCCTTACCTTGAACTTGATTGCACGGAGTACAATCTTATTTGGGATCGCAGTGAGGTACCGATCAAGAAAAAACTCGTTGGACCTCACCTCACCGCTCAACGCTACCCCGCCCCCCCCCCCCCCCCAGAAAAAGGACAAATGGAGACCCTCGGGTAGAAAGGAAATGTAATGCTGATTGCCGGTGGGGGTGAAA